CTCCCCACCCCCTCGTCTCCCCCTCCCCCCCCTCGTCTCCCCCCCGCCCCTCGTCTCCTCCCCCCCCCCTCGTCTCCCCCCCTCGGTCTCCTCCCCCCTCCTCCCCCCCCCTTGTCTCCTCCCCCCCCCCCTCGTCTCCCCCCTCGTCTCCCCCCCCCCTCGTCTCCTCCCTCCCCCCCTCGTCTCCCCCCCCCCCTCTCTCCCCCCCCCGTCTCCTCCCCCCCCCCTCGTCTCCCCCCCCCCTCGTCTCCTCCCCCCTCCCTCCCCCCCCCCCTCTCTCTCCCCCCCCCCTCGTCCCTCCCCCCCCCTCGTCCCCCCCCCCCCCGTCTCCTCCCTCCCCCCTCGTCTTCCCCCCCCTCGTCTCCCCCCCTCGTCCTCCCCCCTCCCCCCCCCCCCCTCGTCTCCCCCCCCCTCGTCCTCCCCCCCCCTCTCCCCCCCTCTCTCCCCCCCCCTCGCTCCTCCCCCCCCTCCTCCCCCCCCCCCTCGTCTCCCCCCCCCCTCGTCTCCTCCCCCTCCCCTCCCCCCCCCCTCGTCTCCCCCCCCAGTCTCTCCCTCCCCCTACCCTGCCCACTCTGTGCCCTTATTTGGCGAAGGGGGCGGAGACTCTGCGAATCGGAGCCGTGACGTCACTTTCTACTGGGGAGAGGGTGACATCGCCCCCCCCCCCCCCCACCAAGCCCCCCGCCACACTGTGACGTTGACGGAACGTTCTGCCAGGACGTTGTGGTAGGGGCAGCGGGGGAGGGGCTCGCGTTCTGGGTAGGCGGGACCAGGTCCCGAGCTCCCGCCCCCTGCTGAACGATCCCACCGTGATGGGCGTGGCTTGCGGGGTTGTGGGTGTGTCTCGTGGGTTGTGGGCGTGTCTCGCGGGGTTGTGGCGTGTCTCGTGGGGTTGTGGGCGTGTCTCGCGGGGTTGTGGGCGTGTCTCGTGGGGTTGTGGGCGTGTCTCGAGGGGGTTGTGGGCGTGTCTCGCGGGGTTGTGGGCGTTGTCTCGCGGGGTTGTGGCGTGTCTCGTGGGTTGTGGGCGTGTCTCGCGGGTTGTGGGCGTGTCTCGTGGGGTTGTGGGCGTGTCTCGCGGGGTTGTGGGCGTGTCTCGCGGGTTGTGGGCGTGTCTCGCGGGGTTTGTGGGCGTGTCTCGCGGGGTTTTGGGCGTGTCTCGTGGGTTGTGGCGTGTCTCGCGGGTTGTGGGCGTGTCTCGTGGTTGTGGGCGTGTCTCGCGGGGTTGTGGCGTGTCTCGTGGGGTTGTGGCGTGTCTCGTGGGGCTGTGGGCGTGTCTCGTGGGGCTGTGGGCGTGTCTCGCGGGGTTGTGGGCGTGTCCTCGCGGGTTTGTGGGCGTGTCTCGCGGGGTTGTGGGCGTGTCTCGTGGGGTTGTGGGCGTGTCTCGCGGGGTTGTGGGCGTGTCTCGCGGGGTTGTGGGCGTGTCTCGTGGGGTTGTGGCGTGTCTCGCGGGTTTTGGCGTGTCCTCGTGGGGTTTGGCGTGTCTCGCGGGGTTGTGGGCGTGTCTCGTGGGGCTGTGGGCGTGTCTCGCGGGGTTGTGGGCGTGTCTCGCGGGGTTGTGGGCGTGTCTCGCGGGTTGTGGGCGTGTCTCGCGGGGTTGTGGGCGTGTCTCGCGGGGTTGTGGGCGTGTCTCGTGGGGTTTGTGGGCGTGTCTCGCGGGTTGTGGGCGTGTCTCGTGGGTTGTTGGCGTGTCTCGCGGGGTTGTTGGCGTGTCTCGTGGGGTTGGTGGGCGTGTCTCGCGGGGTTGTGGGCGTGTCTCGCGGGTTGTTTTCGTGTCTCGCGGGGTTTTGGCGTCTCGTGGGTTGTGGGCGTGTCTCGCGGGGGTGGTCGTGTCTCGCGGGGTTGTGGGCGTGTCTCGTGGTTTGTGGGCGTGTCTCGTGGGCTGTGGGCGTGTCTCGTGGGGCTGTGGGCGTGTCTCGCGGGGTTGTGGGCATGTCCTCGCGGGGTTGTGGGCGTGTCTCGTGGGGTTGTGGGCGGTCTCGCGGGGTTGTGGGCGTGTCTCGCGGGGTTGTGGGCGTGTCTCGTGGGTTGTGGGCGTGTCTCGCGGGGTTGTAGCGTGTCCGTGGGTTGTGGGCGTGTCTCGCGGGGTTGTGGGCGTGTCTCGTGAGGCTGTGGCGTGTCTCGCGGGGTTGTTGGGTGTCTCGCGGGTGTTGGGCGTGTCTCGCGGGTTGTGTGGCGTGTCTCGTGGGGTTGTGGGCGTGTCTCGCGGGGTTTGGGCGTGTCTCGCGGGGTTGTGGCGTGTCTCGTGGGTTGTGGGCGTGTCTCGTGGGGTTGTGGGCGTGTCTCGCGGGGTTGTGGCGTGTCTCGTGGGGTTGTGGGCGTGTCTCGCGGGCTGTGTGGTGTCTCGTGGGGCTGTGTGGCGTGTCTCGCGGGGTTGTGGGCGTGTCTCGCGGGTTGTGGGCGTGTCTCGCGGGTTTGGGCGTGCTCGTGGGGTTGTGGGCGTGTCTCGCGGGTTGTGGGCGTGTCTCGCGGGTTGTGGGCGTGTCTCGTGGGGTTGTGGGCGTGTCTCGCGGGGTTGTGGCGTGTCTCGCGTTGTTGTGCGTGTCTCGTGGTTGTGGGCGTGTCTCGTGGGGCTGTGGGGCGTGTCTCGCGGGGTTGTGGGCGTGTCTCGCGGGTTGTGGGCGTGTCCTCGTGGGGTTGTGGGCGTGTCTCGCGGGGTTGTGGGCGTGTCTCGCGGGGTTGTGGGGTGTCTCGTGAGGTTGTGGCGTGTCTCGCGGGTGTGGGCTGTCTCGTGGGGTTGTGTGCGTGTCTCGCGGGGTTGTGGGCGTGTCTCGTGGGGCTGTGGCGTGTCTCGCGGGTTGTGGGGTGTCTCGCGGGGTTGTGGCGTGTCTCGCGGGGTTGTGGGCGTGTCTCGCGGGTTGTGGGCGTCTCGTGGGGTTGTGGGCGTGGTCTCGCGGGGTTGTGGGCGTGTCTCGCGGGGTTGTGGGCGTGTCTCGTGGGGTTGTGGGCGTGTCTCGTGGGGTTGTGTGGGCGTGTCTCGCGGGTTTGTGGGCGTGTCTCGTGGGTTGTGGGCGTGTATCGTGGGGCTGTGGGCGTGTCTCGTGGGGCTGTGGGCGTGTCTCGCGGGGTTGTGGGCGTGTCTCGTGGGGTGTGGGCGTGTCTCGCGGGGTTGTGGGCGTGTCTCGCGGGGTTGTGGGCGTGTCTCGTGGGGTTGTGGGCGTGCTCCTCGCGGGGTTGTGGCGTGTCTCGGGGGTTGTGGGCGTGTCTCGCGGGGTTGTGGGCGTGTCTCGCGGGGTTGTGGGCGTGTCTCGCGATGGTTGTGGGCGTGTCTCGCGGGGTTGTGGCGTGTCTCGTGGGGTTGTGGGCGTGTCTCGCGGGTTGGGGCGTGTCTCGCGTGGGGTTGTGGGCGTGGTACTCCGCGGGGTTGGGTGGCGTGTCTCGCGGGCGGTGGGTGTGTCTCGCGGGGTTGTGGGCGTTCTCGCGGGGTTGTGGGCGTGTCTCGCGGGGTTGTGGGCGTATCTCGCGGGGGTTTGTGGTCGTGTCTCGTGGGTTTGTTTTTTTGTGGTCGTGTCTCGCGGGGTTGTGGCGCGTGTCTCGCGGGGTTGTGGGCGTGTCTCGCGGGGTTGTGGGCGTGTCTCGTGGGTTGTGGGCGGTGTCTCGCGGGGTTGTGGGCGTGTCTCGCGGGGTTGTGGGCGTGTCGCGTGGGGGTTGTGGGCGTGTCTCGCGGGGTTGTGGGGCGTGTCTCGCGGTTGTGGCGTGTCGCGTGGGTTGTGGGCGTGTCTCGTGGGTTGTGGGCGTGTCTCGCGGGTTGTGGCGTGTCTCGCGGGTGTGGGCGTGTCTCGCGGGGTTGTGGGCGTGTCTTGCGGGTTTGTGGGCGTGTCTCGCGGGGTTGTGGGCGTGTCTCGCGGGGTTGTGGGCGTGTCTGCGGGTTGTGGGCGTGTCTCTGGGGTTGTGGGCGTGTCTCGCGGGGTTGTTGGGGCGTGTCTCACGGGGTTGTGGGCGTGTCTCCTGGGGTTGTGGGCGTGTCTCGCGGGGTTGTGGGCGTGTCTCGCGGGGCTGTGGGCGTGTCTCGTGGGTTGTGGGCGTGTCCGGGGGTTGTGGGCGTGTTCGTGGGGTGTGGGCGTGTCTCGCGGGGTTGTGGGCGTGTCTCGCGGGGTTGTGGGCGTGTCTCGCGGGGTTGTGGGCGTGTCTCTGGGGTTGTGGGCGTGTCTCGCGGGGTTGTGGGCGTGTCTCGGGGTTGTGGGCGTGTCTCTGGGGTTGTGGCGGTCTCGCGGGGTTTGTGGGCGTGTCTCGCGGGGCTGTGGTGTTCTGGGGTTGTGGGCGTGTCTCGTGGGGTTGTGGGCTTGTCTCGTGGGGCTGTGGGCGTGTCTCGCGGGTTGTGGGCGTGTCCGCGGGGTTGTGGGCGTGTCTTCCGCGGGGTTGTGGGCGGTCTCGTGGGGCTGTGGGCGTGTCTCGCGGGGTTGGGGCGTGGCTTGTGTGTTGTGGGACGTGTCTCGATGCCCGCCCACCCCCCCACGCCTGATGCGGGTTTTCCGCGGGGGTTTAAAACTGACCGCCGATTTGTCGCGGACCGCGCAGCCCCAGTCGCGACCCCCGCTGCCCGACAGCGGCCCCGCGCCGCCGTCCGTCGCCTCCTCGATCCGCCTCATCTCCTCTAATTCACGCGGCGCAAATCCCCGGGATTTCATCCACGGAGCTGGGATCTCAGAGGTCTTTAGTGCCGAGGTGTCTGCCTCCTACCCCCCCCCCCCCCATCACTACCCCCCCCCTTCCCTGCTCCCACCCCTCTACCTTACCCCCCCCATTATCCGGCCCCCCCCCCTACCGCCCCCCAACCGTGGTGCCCCCCAGCAATCCGAGGTGGCGACGCCGCAGCAGATGGAACCTCGGTCGGGCGTGAGGCTTTAACCTTCCGAGGGGACCCCGAGTCGCGGGTACCCCCCCCCCACCACTACCCAGCCCCCCCCCCCTATCTTCTACCTCCCATTAAACCCCTCCCCTACCCCCCTACCCCCCCCCCCCCCCCTCGTGAGGCCACCTTGCGCAGCGATTTGGAGGCGATTAGAGGCGATTAGAGGCGCCGCTGCGGCGAGGAGGAGGATGATGGACGCGGGCCCCCCCCCCGCGTTGAGAGGCGGCACCGCGGACGAGCACGGTACGAGCCCTTCGCGGGCAGCAGCGGGAGGGTGCGGGCAGTGGCAGGGAGCCCAGGGGCAGCAGCAGTAGCATGGGGGCAGTAGCAGGATCCTATGGGCAGCAGTAGTATGGGGCCAGTTGGAAGATTCTACGGGTAGTAGCAGTAGCAGTAGAATAGGGGCAGTAGCAGGATCCTAAGGGCAGCAGCAGTAGCATGGGGGGCAGTGGCAGGGAGCCCAGGGGCAGCAGCAGTAGCATGGGGGCAGTGTCAGTGATCCCAAGGGCAGCAGTAGCATGGGGGCAGTGGCAAGATTTTACGGGCAGTAGCAGTAGCATGGGGGCAGTGTCAGGATCCTAAGGGCAGCAGTAGCATGGGGGCAGTGGCAAGATTCTACGGGCAGTAGCAGTAGAATAGGGGCAGTAGCAGGATCCTAAGGGCAGCAGTAGCATGGGGGCAGTAGCATGATCCTATGGACAGCAGCAGTAGAATGGGGGCATCAGGGTGTACGGGCAGCGCACACACACGAGCGCACACGCACCCTGCAAACACATTAACTCTCATTCATACACACAAAGATACACACATACACACATACATATACTACACACACACATATATATATATCCTTCAACACATATATAAACTACACACTCTACACACTACACACATGTATATAATTCACGCACGCTACACACGTACATATACTACACACATACAAACTACACACTACGTACACATACTACACACACGGACATGCTACACACTATACTCACACACACGCGTTCACCCACCTTTTCACACACACTCATACACGTTCACACACACACTCATACACGTTCACACACACACACTCACACGTTCACACACTCACACACGTTCACCCACACTCACACACGTTCACACACAAACACACACGGGCCTAGGTTCCACATCGATCAGTTCACCATCATCGATTCGTAAAGTGAGCCTGACTGCTGATGAGACAGCGCAATGTCGAAACCGGTCCAGAGTTGTTCGCTTGTGCTGAAATGACGCGCTCCCTACAAGGCGGTGCGGCTGATGAGATGTGTAAAAACAAATGTCACGTGTTGTTTCGTGATGCGGAGATACAGAGATGTATGGAGGGGAGACGTTGCTCGTCTATTATGTTATTCGTGGTGCAATAGTGCATCGTAAAATCTAGCACACGTATACAAAGACAGAGATCCCCCGTATAGGCTTTGAGAGACTGTTGGGGCAAGTGCCATTATTAAGCTAACACTTACCAATGCCGGCAACGGAACACGAGGGGTGGGTGGGCTAGCACCCCACACCCGGCCGCCTTTGTCTCTCTCGTGGTTCCGATAGTGGCCACTGGTATTGGTGGCCTCGAGCGGGAATCGAACTCGGGTCACCGGGTTCGTAGCGCAGCGCTAACCGCTTACACCACCACCACCGCTCCCCACTCACCGTCGCACTCACGAACTTCCAACAAGCACGATCTGGCGACCGATGTAATGTTTCCGTAATTATTTTTTGTGTCAAATCGCAGCGAGTACGCAATGTCACTTTGTGTCGGACACCCTCCGCCAACCGGACACTCACACAACACATCACGCACACACGCTCACACAACACACCACGCGCACACGCACACACACACCACGCGCACACACACACAACACTCCACGCGCACACACGCACACACAACACACCACGCGCACACAACACACCACGCACGCACACACACACATCACGCGCACACACGCACACAACACACCACGCGCACACACGCACACACACAACACACCACGCGCACACACCCACACACAACACACCACGCACGCACACACACACATCACGCGCACACACGCACACAACACACCACGCGCACACACGCACACACACAACACACCACGCGCACACGCAGACACACAACACACCACGCGCGCACACGCACACAACACACCACGCGCGCACACGCACACAACACACCACGCGCACACGCACACACACAACACACCACGCGCACACACGAACACAACACACCACGCGCGCACACATACACAACACACCACGCGCGCACACGCACACACACGTGCGCGCGAAGCGACGCCCGTCACACACACCCACGCAGCAGCAGCGTCTCTGGCACGCAGAGTGTGCAAAGTACACGAGTGTGTACACACAGATAGGGCGTAATCACGCACCAGTACAAACAGAGACAGAGACGCACACTCACGCAGGCTGATAGAAGAAAAAAATAATCACCGCGCGCGTTTACGCACACATTCACACAACTCGAAGGCACAAATCTTCCCCCCCCCCCCACGTAGAGCCGCAATAGACTGTCGGGGCAAGTGCTGTTAGAGAGTAGCAGCACCTATGAAGGCCGCCACGGCACACGAGGGGGTGGGTGGCCAGCACCACGCACGGCCCCCTTTGTCTCACCAGCGCTGATGTTTTACGCGCCGCACCAGCTACTCGTTTGAGGCTGAGTCGACCTAGCGAAGACCCAGGACCGGTTCAGATAATCGTCAATAGTTTTGGTGGCCGTGGGCGGGAATCGAACTCGGGTGGCCGGGTTCGTAGCGCAGCGCGTTAACAGAGATTAACGCGCACGCGTATACACATGCACGCGTATGCGCACGGATACAATATTCACCCGCCCGGTCACTCATTCACGTACACACTCACTCATTCACTCACACAATCACCCACTAACGCACTCGCACTTTCGTTTAAACCTACGCCCGTCCGCACACTCGCGCGCCCAGGAACTCTTTCGCTCTCAAACTTTCCACTCACTCCTGCGCGCCCAGGCATACATTCACACGCCGCACTTACGAAATTCACTCACACCCGCCCTCGGTCGCACGAACAAAAAAAAACTCGCCTCTATTGTGCAGCATCCGTCGCGTGCGCTTACCCAAATATTCACCAAACCACTCACCCATTCGCACACTATTACAATTAATTGCTCATACGCTCACCCGATTTCACATACACATGGTCATTCACTTAATCACACATGCATGTACCCCTCTCACACGCCAACTCACTCATACGATTACCCACTCACACACCCGATCACCCATAAACTCACCCACCCATTCACAATTACCCACTGGCCCATGTAAATGTCCACTCGCACACGCAAATAGCCACTCGTGCAAATACCCACTCACCACCCATCCACTCACTCACCACCCATCCACTCACCCACACACTCGTACAGACATCCATACACTCACTCACCACCCATCCACTCACTCACCACCCATCCACTCACTCACCACCCATCCACTTCGCACACACTCGTACAGACATCCATTCACTCACTCACCACCCATCCACTCACTCACCACCCATCCACTCACCCACACACTCGTACAGACATCATTCACTCACTCACCACCCATCCACTCACTCACCACCCATCCACTCACCCACACACTCGTACAGACATCCATCCACTCACTCACCATCCATCCACTCACTCACCACCCATCCACTCACCCACACCCTCGTACAGACATCCAACCACTCACTCACCACCCATCCACTCACTCACCACCCATCCACTGACTCACCACCCATCCACTCACCCACACACTCGTACAGACATCCATCCACTCACCCACCCACTCGTACAAATACTCACCCACTGACTCGTACAAATACCCACTCACTCACCCACGCACTCGCCCATCTACCCACGCATACTCATGCTCGCCCTCCGACTCGTAAACAGACCCACGCACTCACTCACCGCGCGAATCTCACAGTCAAACAATCCGAGTCGAGATTCCTCGTTCCTCACCGCCGCGTCAGCTCATCAGGATGGGCGCGGGTGAGGTGGGTGAGTGGGTGGTGAGGATGGGTGAGTGTGGGGGGGGGGTGGGACAAAGAGGATGCTAGTTAGAGTTGGCTCATCCTTTGTCTTCCCAAGTAAAAATCGATGGCTCTCCGTTCGGTGTCTCTCGACACGCGCGGCTGCGAGACATCTGCTCGGGTCTACCAGCCTCGTGACCTTCCACGCCGATATCATCCAGCAGTGGAGGTCTCCCATAGCGGCACACGGGAACCTGCGACTCAGATTCGTCGCCGCAGTTGAAATAATGTAGCAAGTTTCTCAAGATGCTGCCCCCACGCCCCCCACTCCACCACCAGTGTTTCAAATGTAACACACAGCAGCGTATGTTGGTACGAACGGGATTGAGTCGATCGGAAGGACCCATCAGCAGCCGCCTCCACCAACACGTCCCGTCAACGTGGAAGAGTAGACCAAGAGCGCCACTGCGGAGATCGCTCTCGTGACCGGTGCGTGGAACTGCCCCTTTCCGAGGCGGCAGTGGCGGGCGGGGGAGCGGGCACTTGCAGGGCCGCGCCTCTACCAAGACGCGGCGCGTGCCGATAGCGAGACGTAATGATTGTGCATCGCCACATCAGCAAACCTATTTACTCACAGATACGGGCCGAGGTCATTTAAATATCGTAAACCTAATGACGCTTCGTAGTTAAGATTTACCATCGTTATAATTGTTGTTATTGTTGTCTGTAAATTACCAATCACGCGGCGATGAACGGTGACGATGCTGAGTTGGCGATGGTGGGGAGCGGTGGTGGTGCGGTTAGCGCGCTGCTGGCCTCCGAACTCGGCGAACCGAGTTGCGAATCTGAATCGGTCCCTGGGCCTCCTCCCCTAGGTCGACTCAGCCTCAAGTCAGTGTCTGGTGCGATGGGTAGTAAAACATCGCCGCTGGGGGAGACAAAGGCGGCCGGGCGTGGTGCTGGCCACCCACCCCCTCGTATGCCGTGCCACGTCCATAGACGTTCGCTAACAGCGCTTGACCCAACAGTCTGTTGAGGCTACACGGGGGATCTTTGTCTTTGCACGGGCACAGCAGCAACAACACTGGGTGTGACCTTAACGAAGCATGTGTCAGAGGCGACGTGCTGTGTGATGAAGGGTTGTTGTCCGAAACGTCGTCGGTTAGTTTTAATCTGAAGGCCACACAGTGTTGTTGCTTTTGTGT